GACTCCTCAGGAGGAACTAATTTCTTCATTAAAGTTGTATGTAGTCTTATCTACACAAATAAGTGACGACAGAATATATCATATAAGTAGCTAAAAGCTCACATAACAAACGCACGGTCGAAGCTTCCGGTATATTTCTTTAGGGCTGTTTTGACAGCGTTGAACTTGTGACATTACAGACTGAAACTTGGTAGGAATGATCGACTCATGATCCTGACAAAGTGTTGTTATTTTTCGGGTCAATCAAAAATCCAATATGGCCACGACGGCCGCCATTTTGAAAAACTATTTCAAACTTAAAGTCAAGTTCTACTGGGGCGATTGAACTGTAACTTTGTAGGAATGATCGACTCATGGTCCTGACAAAGTGTTGTTATTTTTTGGGTCGATCAAAATTCCAATTTGGCTGCGACTGCTGCTATTTTGAAAATAACTATTTCAAACTAAAAAACAAGTTCTGATAGGCCGATTTAATTAACTGAAACTCGGTCTAGGAATGATCAGTTCATGGTCCTGACAAACTTAAGTTAACATTATGCTTAACTATTTTTTACTCAAATTGGTACATATTTCAACAACAAAAATAACTACTGTAGGACTCAGATGACTGTTAAGGCCCATGGGCCTCTTGTTGTATAATATGAAGTATTTTCATAGCTTGATATAGCAAAACGTTCAGGGTAAACTTAAAACCAGTGTCCCACAAATTTTCTAATGTATAGATCGAGGGCTTAAGGAGGCTCCACCCTTTGCAATTAGCCAGCAGAATTCAATGAAAGTTTCACATAATGGTTATGTCACTAAGTAGAGGTGATGTTTTGAAAATCTAATTATTCTGATAAACTGAGGATTTTTTTGTAAAAAATACCGAAAAATTGATTTTTTGTCAAATTCAACACTTTCATATTTTTTGAGCGTGTGGCATTGTTCAATACTATTATAACAATAAAATAATGAAAAGAAACATTGCTAATCAACCCTACAAATATTTTATTTATCATAAAATATCTACAACATGTTACAAAAAGCGTTTTATATTGAAATTGTATGGATAAAAGTTACTAACTACAAGCTAAAAGCAAACAGGACACATAGTTTCATACAAAAAGAGTGAAAATTTGAGCCAAATACACACAGTCTTAATAATTCATTTATTTTACATTTTACAATAATTTTGATCCTGATGAGAGTTGTCTACCTTGTAAAAAATCGGAACTTTTTGCACAGGGATAGAATTTTTACAATGACACTTATTTTCTTTACTTTACCAAAAACGACGGAAATAAATTAAATTACTATATTTAATTGTCAATTTACTGTTATTTTATGGAAGAAAATTACTCTCAATCATGTACACTTTGGACATCATTCCATAGCTCCCTACGCATGATGTATTTACATGTCAGGTACATAAGTAACCATAGGCTATCGCATGGTATGCTGTTATCACATGCAATTGATAGAGATCTTGATATTTTACAAACCACTATTTTCACAGAGTATTGTAATTGCATTTGTGAAACGATTTATCTGACAGAGTGTAACTCGCTCGACAGCAAAAGTCGTAGCGACCAAGAGCTTGCGAACTACTGTTAGCACATGATACGTACAGGTGAGGTCGGTAAACAAAATATATCAGTCTGCATTCCATGCGCCTCATATATATACGACCTTCTGATCGTCTGTCAGTGTTTTCCTGTGAGTTAATTAATCTCTTTGTATCATAAGCTTGTAAATCTTATTGCGTGTAATTGCACATGATTTCCAAGTTATTAGTAAGTCTCGATATCGGGTGTTGACATATCATCGTCACGCACTATTTATTGTTTACCCGGTGTTACTATGATTTACACTATGGTAATAGAATCCCCGATACGCAATACGGAAATGACGACACAAAAATATGACAAGAAAAACATGTGTATTACCATAGACCTAAATTAACTTTAGGTCTCTGGTATTACGAAGGGTGGAAAGTCCTTAAAGATTAGTTTTGCTATTAATTAATGTTAATTTATTTATTTCTTCTATGTTCACACAAACACAATTACAGATTGCAAGAGTTTTAGAGAGTTAGACTGTTTTAAAAACAATATTCCCATTAACACATTCACCCCTGAAGACACATTTGAACTCATCTAATTCAAAGGTCGGAATAGTTCATTATGAAATTTCAGGGGTGAATAAGTTAATGTTACAGAGAAGTTTCATCATTTCTATCATAGCCAAGGGACAGATGCAGTGATTCAGCTCTCTGCTTTTAAGGATCAGATTGTATATTGATTAATTGATAGGTTTTACGTCCGCTTCACTACCGAGTAGTTCGGTTTTCCAGCAGACGACTAGTGGAGCCAAGAAAATGTGGTTGATAGTACTTCTTTAACTCATTCACCCCTGAAGACACATTTGAACTCCCCCAATTCAAAGGTTGGAATAGTTCATTATGAAATTTCAGGGGTGAATGAGTTAATAATACTGCATAAATCCTATTCAGAAAAGTGCTAAACAAGTTGGAACACTCCTTAAGAATTTTATATAAAAGTACAATTCATTTGTCACAGGATACCTTTCAACACCACGATAGTTTTTTTAAGTTTAATGTTTAGAAACTTGCATAATTATGGTGGCATATTTCTGCCATCCACTTGCGACTTACGAGTTACGTATGTCGACATAATTATTGAAAGATGTCGACATAATCTGAGAAGATGTCGACATAACTGTTAAATTATGTCGACATATTATCACATTTGCCGAGATAATTTTGCCGAGATAATTATCTCGTAAGTGGGTAACTCGGCTTTTTATCGTGTTAATGCTCGGGTGTGACATCGACTTGCCACTTACGACTTGCCACTTACGACTTATTTATGTCGACATCCTAGTAGATTATTGCCGACTTACCAAAACGAGGCTTGTGCACGAGGACCGCGAAGGTGGGCTGATGGTGACTGAACAGTGGTGACTATACTGGTGAGTAACTTGGTAAAATCAATGTAAATATGGGAAATCAAAGATATGGATATTACAGTAGGTTACTATGATGTACAGAGTTTATCAATCAAAGAGGGATTTTACATAAATAAGTCGTAAGTGGCAAGTCGTAAGTCGATGTCACACCCGAGCATTAACACGATAAAAAGCCGAGTTACCCACTTACGAGATAATTATCTCGGCAAAATTATCTCGGCAAATGTGATAATATGTCGACATAATTTAAAAGTTATGTCGACATCTTCTCAGATTATGTCGACATATTCTCAGATTATGTCGACATCTTTCAATAATTATGTCGACATACGTAACTCGTAAGTCGCAAGTGGATGGCAAAAATATGCCACCATACATAATGGCTATGATTTATTGGTGCAAGTAAACATGAAATTGTATAGGTAAGTGACTTAAGTGCAATTTTTATACATTATGTATGACTTCAACTTAGTTTTATAATGATTATTAAAATCTGTTCTTATAAGACCAGTATATCTACCAGCTAGATGAAACTCTGCACTACAACCTACCAATGGACAATTCAGTATGTAAAGAGTTTGCATTCTCTAACTATTACGTCCCGCTAGACAACATTTTTATTGATGTCCTTTTAGATATGTATTGATATTGGCTTAACAGAGTTATATCTATCTTGTACTAACTATTGATGACGTCACAATACTACCTATTGTTTATGAGGTCACAATCTCTGCAATTGTTAATGATGTCACTATACATATATATATATGTAGAACAATTGTATGTGCCCCGATTTTGGTACTTCAGGGATAGAAATATCCTATAATTTTGTCCTGAAGAAGCCCACTGTAGGGGCAAAACCGGTCGACACTTTTAATAAACTACAAGAATAACTTATTGCTCCTTCGCCTGTTGTGATTGAATCTATTTTATGATGTTTTGGTAGTTATGCATGATAAGATATATAAACTAATCATCCAGTTAAAACAAAAGTCTTATTGTTCTGAGGGTATTAACCTGAATGGTAAATCTAAAACCGGAATTCCTTTCTCACAAAGACTTTTTATTATTCCCTTGATGTTTATGCATTATGCAGTTCGGCTTGTTGTGTGTTAATTGTGACATCAAAAAAGTCCTGAATTCTGTTACATTGTAAAGATGGACAGATGGAGTAGGGTGCATTTGAGCGGGAGGTAACGATAATATTGTGAATATTGTGAGTGCGAGACAAAAAATGGCGTAAATTTGATAACCGATAGTATTCACTTGTACACTTGTGAATATAAACCTTCATAGTCTTAAAATTGAAGGCATAGGTTTATCATCTGAAAACTTGTGTCAACTAGGGGTCCTAACATATACATAATTCTGTGTGTAGCAAACCATTAACTGAGCACTTTTCTTCAGTGAAAAAATGATTAAAATCATTGGACTGACCTTAGTAGCTTCAAATATTATGGTACAAAGTCCTTAATAAAGTGTAAAATATTTTCATTTGAAATTGTGAAAAACTAAAGGATTATTAAAAGGATTTACAGGCTATCATAGACATTATACCTGCGATTGGTGTCAGAGTTAAGGGTGTATGCTACCTTAATCATTATACCTGTGATATGTGTTAAGAGTTCTTAAGAATTAGAGTGCTACTTTACACATTATACCTGTGATATGTGTTAAAATTAAGGGTGTATGTTACCTTACACATCATACCTGTGATTTGTGTTAGACTTAAGGATGTATGGTACCTTACACATTTCAACTGTGCTTTAAGTTTAAGTTATCTCCCATTATGTCTTCAATAAGAATAATTCTGAGTTCTATTGATGCCTATATTCTTGTACCGTTCAAATTTATCCTCAAATATTCGACTTAGTTCAGACCATCACTCATAAAAGGTATTTTACAGTCTTGCTAGTGTGAAATGGAAAAAGACGTCTCAGTAAGGTAGCGTACATCCTTCGTGTTGTAACTTCCTGATAGATATTTGAACTATGCATGGAAGAAGCATATCATTTTCTCTTTCTTTTCAGCAACCAACACCAAGACATGTGTTCTCTCACCATGACAACAGGGAGTCTTTCTTGAATGATGCTCTTTATTTTGAACAGGTAAAGTTTTATTCCATTTTTCCATTCAGTAGATTCTGACCAGATCATTTTTTATCAATTTCATTATACAAATATCGAGAGCTGCCTGTAGAAAAAAAGAGGACCTTATTGAACTTCAAATAGCAATATAATCCATATTTTTAGTATCATTTATTTGTAATTAAAAATTACTCGAGTGTTATCAGTCCTTGAATTTTTGTCATTATAATTTTTCATGAGCCAATTAACGAAATGCTCATCATCATTCCTAAGATATAGTTTACATGTTTCTTAATGTGAAGTTCTTTTTTAACGAAGTTATATTTCAAATTAAGGTAGCATATAGCCTTAACATTAAACAATATGAATTGATCTGTCTGTTATTTCAACTTATTTCAATACATTTTTACAGGGATTGGGACGAAAAAGGGTTCCAAATGAAACATACGATTTTAAGCGGGATTTCATCACATGGATGCCTGAAAAGGAGTACATCGAAAGGTCACGACCTCTTGTTTCAACCTACAAAGTTGACTTTAAGAACAAGAAGACAGAAATCACTAAATATTCATCAACTACCACAGTGGAACGCCAGGAACACCATAATATACCACAGATAATGGTGAAACGTCCAAAGACTTCGTTTGACGGAGTTCCGACAACGTCATACCGATATTCACATGGTGATATGAGAAGTAACCCTAATAAAGAAATGATCACGGCTGTAAACAATGAAGCACTACAGCTAAGTTTGTTAAACAGGAAAAATAGGGCCATGTCAGCTAAATCGAGCGGGAGAGAATCCGTTGCGTCGTGCATGATCTGGCAAAGTGCTAAAACTGAAGCATCAAGCTCTAATGGAAAATCTAGAATTCCTGAAGCTACAGCAACGACATCGTTCGTACCCCATCCACCTCCGCCACGAGAGGCTCCTCAACCAATGAAACAGGTCACCATTTCATCCCCGCCTATTCAGATGGAGGCGAGGGCCCCTGCCCCTCCAGCGCCTGCTCCAATCAGTGTACCAGCTGCCTCCGTCAGTGTACCAATGTGTACTCCCACCGTCTCTGCTCCACAGATCACGTCACGGGCCAACATTCCACAGCCGACGATAGTGTGGATACCACCTCAGACAGAGGTAGCTGGTTGATCAGTAACGAATAATATATTATAGTAGACATATATCGTTATCACTATTTATATGGTATAGCTTGTGCTTGTTGAAGATTTTCAATGTTAGAAAATGTAAAAGAAAGCTTCTGTTTCCATCAATATTTCTGTTATAGTGAAAATGAGAATATTTTCTTCATCACACAGGATAAGAAATATGTCTTTGCTGAACAAATACTAGGCCAAAGTCTTCTGTTTAGAATAAACAATTTGTTTGGTTATATATATACACATGTATTTAGCTGGACCCGACTGAAGTTCTGGTTTATACAGGTTCTGGATTAAACACCAGTTTCAGTTTAGACAGACATTCTGTATAATGCATTCTACTCGGGGAGAGAATATCTGTAGATAGTACTGTAGTTTCATTGTTGTGTTTGAGTAGCTGTGCAAAAATATTAAACTGTAGAAAAAAGCATCAAAAGAAAACGAATGAAATATAAAATACCTAGATTTCTATAACAATTTATTAAGAAATCTGATGAAATATTTGCCAAATGCATGTGTTTTCTTATACAGTAGCAATGTCCCACAATGTCACTTAATTAAGATGGTTCATTGTTATGCAGTATTAGGTTTATTGATTTCTTACTTTCTAACCACCCTAGTTTCCCAGATGTTTCATAGGAAGTTTATTCATAGTAAAGTTTTGATAGAATAAGGAAAAATATACAGTTATGAAAAAAAAAGGATTTTGATTATAGCAGTGCTGTTCAATGGAAAAACCGAAATTAAAGATTTTTTTTAAGAAATGTTAGAAGACTTAGGCCTACATCTGATTTAGACCTAAAGTTTACATGCAAGAACAGTCCAGGCAGCTAGTTTTGATATCATGACACCTTATTTGGGCATGCTTGCTATTTGTGAATTTATAACTTGTTGTTTTGTATGCTATACTGACATTTCTTATTCTAGATATGGTTTCGGTACTTTTTCGTTTTTTCGTACGTACTGACATTTGATAAGAAAAGTATAGCATGCAAGTCCATCTTATAGCCCATTGTCTACAATGAACATTCTATAAAGGCTAAGAAACAAGCTTGAACTGGTAGCTTAGCACATATTTGAGTAAATCGTATGCAAAGTTTAGCCTTCTGGGTACAAGAATTGTGCCGTTTAAGTGTTATGTAAAAATAAAAAATAAATTAAAAGACGAAAAAAAAATCAAAAAAATCTATGTGTCTGTTATACATATACACATGGTTAATCCAAAACTACAACCTATCAATACACATTTTTTTTCAATGTATGCTTCAGTTTTTCCTGCTTTATTTATTATAGTGGTTATATACAGGTCATTAGTCTTTGGCTTAAAATTGTAGTCTAATCCGTTTCGGGTTTGGTACTTAAGTTTTAAGTGATTATGACATACCCTCTTTAATTCTCCTAGAATGTTAAAATATAGCATTACAATAGCACGTATAAGGACAAAATAATACGGTCTGTCATTTCGTACATTTTGCATAGAGTACATTTTGTGTCACATGCATGATAGATGTTGGTTAATTTTACCAGATGGATTTTTTTTTATTGGAGGGATGAAATACACCCAGAAATAAAAATCAAATCAAAAGGTTTAGGGGATGATATTTTGACACCTGACATATATCTAAAATTAATTCTGATTTTATATGTATAAATTACACACACCCATATATATTTTTTCACATTTGTTAGAAATTAAGTACTTGTATTTATTAATTGAAGTGTCACTTTCGACGGGAAAGGATATCGTGGTATATGATATATTTGCAACCTCTGGTGCTGGTTTATACATTTTGTTTTAATGCACAGGATGTACCGAAAACCACAGAAGTTAAAAAAAAAAATGTTTGCTGATTGAATGTATGCCATAGGCTTTCAGCTTGATTTCCGATTTTATGACACCACAAGATATTGGCGTATATTGCCAGTAATTAAAACTTTTATCATTTATTATTCCATGTGTCATGTCTATACTGTACAATATTTCCTTAGTGGATTCAATTAAACAGGATAAGCTTTCCTTTTTTTTCTTTCCTGTATAGACTTGTATAGCGAAACACCAAAATTAAATTTTTTAATTCATTCAGAGATCATTTAAAATTTCATAAGGGCTATATAAATGTCAAACGGCTGCTTGAATAAGATGTAATCTTTCTGCATCAATCTTTGATACAGTACAAACATTATGAAGTTTTAAAACGTGTTAATTTGTACTTTTAGAAAAGTAGGCCTTTTGAGAGCAATTGGTACATATATTTTACATGAAACTTGATGCACTTTATACTGAGACTGTTTTTATGATATTTTCTGATGAAATGTCAAAGTTAGGATTTATTACAATTCATTAATGACAGAAAACAGTTATTTTCTTAATCTGTAATGTCTATATACAAATTATGTAAAATACTTATTAATTATTTACATTTTGTACATTAATTTTATTTGTTATTATTTCATATTTCTACAGTATATTTTATTATGTTATCTGTCTGTACTTTAAGGATATGATGAGGTAGAGAGAGACAAACTACCTTTGCCCTAGTGACCTATTGGTCATCTCAATAAATGAGTCTTATGACAAAGTGAAACTTTGAATGTCAGGTGTCGGATTTGACATGTAAGGATTTGTGAGTTGGTGATGGTAAGCTTTACAGTACATACTTAAAATGACAAGATAAAAGTATTTTATTTAAACAACCTATTGACTTTATTTTTGTTATATTTATGTGACACTTCCTTCCTGTAATGTATAAAAAAAAATGTTGTGCAAAAGAACATTATAGTGCTTTTGTAAAAACATACATATCCAGTATATAATGTTTAAAGGGGAATGCACTTTATACGTCTTATGATAAATCCTGTTAATTTTAGATTAGTAAATGTCTAGATGACCATGTTTTCATTACTGAACATATTCCTGAGGAAGTATTTTATCATCAGTAAAACCTGTCTAAGGGCACTGGGCTTATTGCTGAACATGGGCTTATTACCGAGCATGGGTTTATTGTTGAACATGGGCTTATTGCTGAACATGGGCTTATTGTTGAGCATGGGCTTATTGTTGAGCATGGCCTTATTGTTGAGCATGGCCTTATTGCTGGTAACATTGTTTAACAGTGGCTGGTACCTTAGGCATAAACATTTCATTGATCAAGATTCTAAATAATTTGAAATTTGAAATTTTCATACTAGATGTAAGGTTCGAAAACGAAATCCTTCTTAGTTTATATATACTGTATATATCCTCAGCTTCAGTAAGAGTAGTTTACACAACAATAAATGCCCAGGATAACTTCAACTTATTGTACTGTAGATAACATATATTTCACACGCTTATATTTCACAAAATTGACCATTCCATTTATTCCTTCTCTTGCAGACATTCATGTTTTACTTACCATAAATGGCTTTTGCTAAGTAAAAATTTAAATGGTAATCAGAGCTTAATATAAATGTATGTAAAACAAAATAACATGTGAATAAAGAAAGCAGTCTGTAAACATGCAGTATATCTAAAAAAAAAAAATGTGTTTAAAGATTTAGGTGGAGAGTCACAGCGCTATGTTGTATCTCAAATGAATATACATATGTATTATTATTTCCCTTTCTTCACAAAATCATTTCTGTCACATTCCTGGACCTTTATATAATGAAACAGGGAGCACACTAATCTGAATATACCTTGGGGTAATATCAAAACGATCTAACTCGCTAAAAAGACCCCAAACTCAATTGTTGTCTTTGTATATTGTATTTATATTTGAAATGAAATATCTAATAGGAAAATATATTTGCAAGACCTGTATTCAGTAGAAAAGTATTGGGATTTTATGTGATGGTATTTTTTTTAATTTCATATATTTATACACATTATTAATTTACATTGCTACAGCTCTATTTCATGTACTTTAATACTGTTTTCGTTAAAGTATTGTTTTTTTCTTGTGTGTTTGCTTATTTTTGACTTAAAGATCTGTTTTTGTTAAGCTGATGTTCGTTGATGAATTTTAGGTTTTAGTTTTTTCTTTGTATTCAAAATATGGCTGTAGCTAGCAATTTAGAAACTTCTTTACCTCATGTATGTATATTAGTGTTGTTTTTTATACACAATTTATTACCTTTTTTTACTGTATAAATAAGTTAAAACTAAATGAAAGACTGATTAGCTGAGTTTTGGAATGCATCAATAAAAGTTTACTTAAGATTTTTGTATTTTAATTGTTATCAGTTAAAGATGTTATCTAAAAGTATGTTATTGCTAATAAAATTTTGATCTATTTAAAATAATTGTACTTGTTTATTATTATCTGGAATTACAAAATAAACATATTTTTTAAAGTAAAAACATTGTTCAAAGAAATTGACAAAAACAACAATAACATATCAAATTTGTATGACAATGTCCTATTTTACATTGCGGAAAGACTGAGATTCCATCTCTTTTTTTTCAATTATTTTTTCTGTCCATGATATCTAAGCCAAATTGATTAATAGTTTCTTCTACATAATTGTCCATGGTGTCATGATTTTTTGACAATTTTGGCCTATGGTCTATCAGTCAAAGCTGAATTTTTCGAGCATTTGGGAAATGAGATAAACGATGCTGATTTTTTTGGCAATTTTGGGAGGCTTTGATTTGTACAATTGGGATATCTTTTACGGAATCATCCTTTAAAATATTTAATTATTTAATTATATACTTGCAAAAATATAATTATTATATGTTTATTGGTGTTATTATCACTTCAAAAGTATAAATCTAAGTATGTTTTTAACATCTAATTTTTGTAGAGTGAATTGTTCTATGGTATCAATATTGTTATTTTATTAAGAATATTTTTATTAAGCCATCCAAAACATATTTAGATTATGAAGATAATTTACAATATTTAACTATGAATTGCTGCTTCATCTGGTTACTTGAAATCAAGTCACTAAAATATGATACTGCAGCAAATTGTAAAAAATGGTTAAGATTTAAGATAAATAGCAGTTTATTTTGGCCTATGGTCTATCAGTCAAAGCTGAACTTTTCGAGCATTTGGGAAATGAGATAAACGATGCTGAGTTTTTTTGCAATTTTGGGAGGTTTGATTTGTACAATAAGGATATCTTTTACGGAATCATTAAATACTTGCAAAATTATAATTATTATATGTTTATTGGTGTTATTATCACTTCAAAAGAATAAATCTAAGTATGTTTTTAACATCTAATTTTTGTAGAGTGAATTGTTCTATGGCGTTATTATCAATATTGTAACATTTTTATTAAGCCATCCAAAACATATTTAGATTATGAAGATAATTTACAATATTTAACTATGAATTGCTGCTTCATCTGGTTACTTGAAATCAAGTCACTAAAATATGATACTGCAGCAGATTGTAAAAAATGGTTAAGATTTAAGATAAATAGCAGTTTATTTTGTACCTGTGTATTGAAATGGTTTACCTAAATAAATGTTTCTGTATTTTTTTAGCGTTTCAATTTGAAGTGCACTATTATTTGGTAGTCTGTTTCCGTTTGTGACCACTGTAACTGTTTGGTGAAGTAGAAATATTAAACTGCCAAATATATACTATATTAATTAATATGCTCTGTTAACTAATCCGATAGAAAAGTCATTAAGTTTATAAATTGATTTTATAGTTTGTTTAATCTCTTTATCATTAATAAATTGTAGATGGGCAAAGACTATGTTTTCTTTTTCTTTTTGAGCAATTACATGGTGAGAAGTTATTGCTTAATTATCAGGGAATCAGGAAAATCTAAATTTTGGTTTGAACGTGATAACACATCCTCCCTAAACGAAGGACAGAATCTATGGAGTTTGTCATTTGGTGCTTGTAAATCAAGAGTGGAGCTCTTGAATTCAAAGATAATATATGAGCCGACTTTGCTGCGCACACTTTTCAAGAGATTTGCTTCTGCATATCTTGGTAAAACAAGAGGCCCAATGGGCCTGCATCGCTCACCTGTTATTAATCTAACACTTGTAATCTTAAGATTTCATAAGAACCTATTAAAAGATTTAAACATATGACGCCTCTGACCTTGATTGTCGAACAAGGACATTAGGTTGAAAGTGGATCAAGGTCATTCATTTGAACTAACATGGTAATCCTTCATCCCAGCATT